AGCAGTATTACTGGAGTAAGGAGTAAGAGAGAATCCACGTCGACGTGCTTCCTGTCTGGCTTCACGCAGTGTGAGTCCGAGTTTGAATCTGAGAGTTGCTACCTCAGATTCAAATTTGTAGGTGGGACAGCCCCTATAAAATACATTATGGGGGCCGCCACAGTTGGCACATGTGCGTGATTGTGCAGAGCAGTTAGATCGGGTATGGCCAGGTTGGGCACATAATGGGCATCTGGCTGTGGAACGGTAGTGTTTGGCTGGGTGTCCTAGACGCCAACAATTTTGGCACTGACGTGGAGGAGGTTGGTATGGACGAACAGGGAGGGATTCTCCTCCTATGTAGACGTTAAAGGGAAGGTCATGTCTACGGAAGGTAATTTTGGCTATGTTAGTGGGTTTCTTTCGATGACCTCTGGGGGGGATGGAATAGCATTGTACTGATGTTGCATCGTAGTCTGTGAGACAGGCAAGTAGATCTTCTCCACAATCTGACCATTCTTTGTCATAGATTGGGCAATTTGTTGGTGAGATTGAGACTGTTCCGGTGCAAGTATTGAGGGTTGGATGGGGTTCTGCTAGGATGGGGTTACCATATAGGTCAGTTAGTTTTGTTAGTGCTATGGCTTGATTTTCGGATGTTACTGTTACAAGACGGGAGCGGTCGGGTCGGCTACGGAAAGAGACTTTACCTACTTGTTTTTGGAGGCATTGTTGGAAGAGAAGGGTGTTGTTAGAGTAGGGAGCTGTGGGAGGGATCACGAAAAATCGGTCCCATTTGGCTGCACTGAAGAGAGTATTCAAGATTGTTTTAGAGATAGGGGTGGTAGAAGGGCGAGGGCGTGACGAAGATGGAGTAGTGTTGATGGAGGTAGTGTTATGGAGAGGTGGGCTATAAGGCTGTAAGGTATTAATAAGGGAGGATGGGGTGGTTGATGTTGGAGGTTGTGGGGGTAGAGGTGTTGAAGTTGGGCATGCTGGGAGAGTGGAAATGTCCCTTGAGGGTTGATTGTTGGCTACTGTACTAGTAGGCATTGGTGAAGGGGTAGTTATTGTAGTGTTTGGAGCCGTGGTCAAAGGAGAGCCTGGGGTCGGGGAATCGGGTGGGTTTACTTCGTTGGGGCTATTTGATAAAGGGGCAAGCCTCATTGCCCCTAACATTGGGGATATATTTTCATTACTGGCCATGGGAAGCCTGGATTATGTTGGGGATAAAAGCAGTCCACCCCTCAGGGTCCCCTTGAGGGGTAAGGGCTAGATAACTAAATCAGGGGAATACCGTGCCCATGGCTCCCTCAGGCCGTTCAGGACTGGCACAAAGTCAGCCTTTCATCCTTTCAGCACGGCTCTCACACCTTAGGAGGTGGATAGGCAGAAGGGTTTGGTGAAGGGACAGAAACAAAAGTGGGAAGGGAAAAAAAAGACCATGCATAATTAGTTGAGTCGAGGGCTGAGTCCCAAGGTTGGGGAGTTCCCCATCATTGGGTCCCAGTCTCCGCCTCCTAAGCCCCCCCACGACAACAACGGGCAAGGGATTGGGGGTGTGTGTGTTCTGAAATGTTTGTTATTCTTAGGGACAAATGAAGAACAAACAACAAACGTTTTCTTATTTATTTGGTAAAGGAAGAAAATACCCATTTTTACAATATTTTCATATGTACAGCTCTGTACAAAACGTCCAAAGGCAACTGTCAAGACAAGAAAGAGTGAAATACATCACAAAATTAGTCAAGGGTACACAACTGGATGACTTCTATAAATGTGATGTCATTAAATATTTCACATAAGTATTCCCAGAGTTCAAAACAGGTAGTAAACCCAAGTGTGTGGTACTGCACACATTATATAAAAAAAAAGTAAAAAAAAAAACAAACAAAAAAACTATGCTGTTGTGTAGGGCCATATAAAAATAACAATAACAATAATAAAAAAAAATAAACAAATAAAAATAAAAAGACAATGTTTAAACACCGTTTTTTTTTTCACCGGTACACATTTTATACAACTCTTGTGCTCCCTCTTGACACACTTTGTCGGGAAAAAAATGTTATCACCTACCCTAAAGAGAACTTGAGACATGAAGGGCACTGAAGTCTTAAAATTAGTTTTGATCCTGGGAACGGAGGGTTGTATGTGGGGGACGACAAACTGTGACCGAACACGAACCTCCCTGCTTTGTTATTCCTGGATGATTGAAATCTTACACATAACTACGAGGGGGACTGCGGAGGGCTGAAGGAGGGCTGGGGGAGGTGGGGAGGGGTGGGGGGTGTAAAGACAGAGATGCCAGGATATCATTACTGATATACTTAGGGATGGGAGGGGTTACAATTCCATTATTGAAAAAAAATAAATAAAAATTAAAAAAAAAAATAAAATAAAAAAAATAATAAAAAAGAAACTAAAAATAACAATAATAAACTAAAAAAAAATAAAAAAAATAAATTAAAATAGATTGGGAAAAGGGGCCAGGCAAGAGTGGAGGGGGGTGGGGGTAAGATACAAAAAAGTAAGGGAGGTGCTAAGGGAACTCGCAGGTAAAAGGCTTTAATTAATTCCTAATAAAAATACCATCATATTACTTAAAAAAAAATAAAAACACAAAGATTCCTACAAAAAGAATAAATAGTATCACTAACTCAAAAAAAAAAGAAGAGAATAAAAAGCCTTAATTATGTACCTTTGCAATACTTAATATTTGATGATTAGTATCAACATATAACATCAATATATGGACAGCCAAGCCAACTGAAATCATGGATACATAATATCATCAGTTTCCTAAACCAAGGGCACATTCACATATGTCAAGTTTAAAGATAACACACATATAAAATCTGACATACAAAATACACAATAAACAAAAATATTCTTGTGAATAAACCATTTCACTAACTTAAAAGCTCAGGACATGACAGATAAAACAACTTACAAACAATAATGATGATAATAATAATAATAATGATAACAATAATAATATAGAAAAAATAATAATGAATTACAATCATAATGATAATAAAGTAATTAGCCTAATATCTACTGAGTATTTTAAGATATTTAAAAACAGAAGAGGTACAATAATATCAAACAGTCCATAGTTCAGAAACAACAACAAAAAAATGCTACTCATGTTATATAGCCACATGCAATGGATGTTTGGATATCTGTCGCAGTTACCTTACACCCTTGGACTAGACAACAACGGATCATTACCTTTGCAGCTACTATTGTGCAAATATAAGAAAAGAACAGAGAGATTGAAAATATTGGATGAAGAAGTTAAAAAAAAAAAAATTAATACTAAAACTAAAATTATGACACTGGGAAATGAAAAAGAAAGAAAAAATATCTTACCCTTAAATCTTTTGGCATTTACTGTGATTTAAACCTTGTACAAAAATCAAGTACTGCTTGCATAAACTGCAGTGAACTACACACACAAATACAATAATAATAATAATAATAATAATAAAAGTTCAGGAACATAAGTAATCTTGATAAAAAATAAGAACCAAAAGAACAATAATGAATCTATTAAGATATTGGTGGATCCTCTGAGATTTAAGCTCCTTTATCATAGTGTACAAAACGAGTATCCTAAAGGTTTCCCAAAGGGCGACGACCAATTCCTTTGTCGTCAGATCACATAAATATGTTGTACATTTCGAGTCTTGAGGGGGGGAAAAGGAGAGAGGGAGATGGGGGGGAAGGGGGGGAGGGAATTCAAGGCATAGTTTCTTATTCATTAATAAGATGTCTAAATCACACTTTATGCAGCTACATGGTGCAGACCACTTACGTTGTCAATTCTATTATCATTAATAATAATTATGATGATAATAATAATAATAAAAAAGACAGATGCTTTGTCATTTAATGAACCAAATCTTAAGATCAATAAATAATAACCTTAGACAATCCTTGTGAATCAGGAGCTCCATTTCTTGGCCTCCTTATCATTTTCATTTTTTAATATAAACTAGAGGTAGGTTATACTTAGCAGGGTCTCTGTAAGCCCCTATACAATACAGTATAAAAAGAAATGTCAATTTCTATTCTATATTCCACACCCAATTGGCACAACTGTGCCAACTACCTATTGAGAAAAAAAATGATTATAAAAATACAGACAAAAAAATCAAAACATGCACAAAAGATATACACCCACTCAACAATTCTTAAATTACATAAATCCATCACAAAAACGTGATGGTAATAATAGTAATAATGACAATAATGATTATGATAATAATTATAATAATAATAATAATAATAATTACAACAACAATAATAATAATAGTAAAATACTAAAAACCACTGATGAAAACTGACAATACATATAACGATACGTTTCATCAAGCGCTTTCATTACTACCACAAGGCTTACACTAAAACTAAGGGAAGAGGAAAAAGGGAAGAAATAATAATATTAATGATAATAACAAATAATTCACCAAGACAACACATAATTCATTTACCTTCATTGGGCAAAGCATAACTACAATACATGAACCAACCTTATATAGAGTACACTGGGTGGGAAAGGAAAATAATACAAAATACAAGGGGGAGAGAGAGGGGAAGAGGGGAAGAAGGGAAGAGGGGAATAGTGAAATAAAAGAGAAACTGAGAGAGTGTGTGAATAAATGAGAGTAGAGGAGTGGGATGGGGGAAGTGGAGGGAGGGAGGAGAGGAGAGGGGAGAGAGAGGGAGAGGGAGAGGGAGAGGGAGAGGGAGAGGGAGAGGAAGAGAGAGAGAGAGAGAGAGAGAGAGAGAGAGAGAGAGAGAGAGAGAGAGAGAGAAGGGGGGGGGAGAGAGAGAGAGAGAGAGAGAGAGAGAGAGAGAGAGAGAGAGAGAGAGAGAGAGAGAGAGAGAGAGGAGAGGAGAGGAGAGGAGAGGAGAGGAGAGGAGAGGAGAGGAGAGGAGAGGAGAGGAGAGGAGAGGAGAGGAGAGGAGAGGGAGGGAGGGAGGGAGAGAGAGAGAGAGAGAGGAGAGGGGGGGGGGAGAGAGAGAGAGAGAGAGAGAGAGAGAGAGAGAGAGAGAGAGAGAGAGAGAGAGAGAGAGAGAGAGAGAGAGAGAGAGAGAGAGAGAGAGAGAGAGAGAGAGAGAGAGAGAGAGAGAGAGAGAGAGAGAGAGAGAGAGAGAGAGAGAGAGAGAGAGAGAGAGAGAGAGAGAGAGAGAGAGAGAGAGAGAGAGAGAGAGAGAGAGAGAGAGAGAGAGAGAGAGGAGAGATTCAAAAGAAAAGTGAAAGAATGACAACAAAAAGAAAATATGAAACACACACCTTCACATGCTGTATACCAGGACACCATCACAAGGCTTAAGCTGCTACCAGGTTGTACCATTTATTGTTCACCAGCACCCTAAAACCCCTTTTATCTCTCTGTACGAACAGAGCTTTTGCTTCACTGCTCCTGAAGTGTTTCACTGTCATGACACTTTTTTTTCAGTCCTCAAGCAAAATTGCAGAAAATTCTAGAAAAAAAAATCCCACACTAAATCACACTGTTGTAGAAATTCTTACAACATTGTACCACATACATCACAAGTCTGATAATCTCTGTGATGGCATCTCTGGCAATACCCAAACAATTTATGAAAGGAAGAAATGCCACAGGCAATTACGAGCACACTATCACAGGATCATGAAACTGTTTGCCTCATGTGCTCTTGCAATTTACTCTGCAACACATGACAATAAAAAAAGGCAGCCTGCAAAACCTAAAACCTTGAAGCTCTGCTCAAAATAAAGGCTGTCATGTATTTGGGGGAAAAAAAAATAAATAAAAAAATGGGGAGGGGCTCCTTTACTGACAGTACATTTTACTTCTTTGGTAATTTCATACAAATACCCTCTTATTACAGAAAAAGTAAAAAAATCAACAAAAATCATAACAGCAAAAGTAAATAAAGGTACTGAACTGCCTGCATAAAATTTAATGGATTCTATCACTGCCAAAAAAGTCCAAAACATACACAACTAATTTGAAATCAGAGGAGCTCTTGGCATAAAACTTTACCTAATACCAATTTACATAAATATCATTTGTCATGGTTCAAATTAAAACTGAAGAGATCTTATCCTTAAGTAAAAAAAAAGAAGAAGAAGAAGAAAGAAAAAAAAACTACACATTCAAGAAGAAGAAAAGAGAGAGGAAGGTTTAAACAAACAACAAAGCTGCACAAATTGCCCAACAGTTTCACAGTTATAAATAGTCCTCACTCAATATGCTAATTGTACATGACTTATCACCTACAAAAGTATATATATAAAAGACCCACAAGATCTTTGTATCTTACTTATTATGTCAAGTAAACGGGCTCACACACAAAATGAAGCGTGAAAGTGAGCGAGAGCGAGAGAGGGAGAGAGAGAGAGACAGAGAGAGAAAATATAATGAGCCAAGGCACAGGGTCGAACAAGAAAATCAATAACATAAAGGAAAACAGTAAGCTTATAAGGAAGACAATGACGAGGGAAGGGAGATGAATGGGGGTAGGGGGGGGGTAAAGGGAGGATGACATACATTGAGCAAGGGCTTTCAAGTGAAGTGGGGTCAGGGATGGGGGGTCAGTTGGGGCTTTAAACTTGCTTGAGGTAGAACAAGATGCTAGAAAAAAAAAATCAATTTAAATAAATAAAATCTCTGTGTATTTAACACATCCTTACTGAAAGTGTTTTCTTTTAATAATAATAATAGTAATAATCATAATAATAACAATAAGAATAATATTAGTTAATAATAATAATAATACCAATAGTGATGATAAAAATATCTATAATAATAATAATCACAAAAAAATTTATAGCTTGATAAAATTGCAATAACAGGCAAAATCTGGACACCAAGATCTGTGTGGCAGTACTTGAGTTTCCTATTTCATTTCAGTCGCAAAATAGAGGACTGAGAAATGTGTGTATTGCAGTAACTGTTTGGAAAAATTACTTCTGTTTCTGTTTCAAAGGCATATGGATTTTTAAAAAATTCTTATTACTATATCTTGTAGACTATCTTATGAATACTGTATTTTAAACATAAAGCCATTTAATATTATTACAAAATATAAACAGGAATCATAGATAAGTCTACATATAATTGTCTCTAACACAATATGTTCGGCTGTCCATTAATAAAAAAGTGTATGTGTAAGTAAAAGTGATTTTTACCAGTAAAAAAAAAAAAAGAAAAAAAGAAAAAAGTCTATATGTAAGTAAAAGTGATTTTAAATTTTTAATTAATTATCTAAAGTCCAACTACTTGTTAAATATAGAACATAGTTGCTGATGTAATACGAAAAAAAGATTCAAAACAAAATAAAAATACAGTTTATCTTGCAACTAACTTCAGCTGAACAAGTATAAAAATAGACATCTAACATTCCTTTGTTGTTTCAACTTGTCCACCCACAGATCTGACCTGGCAAAAAAGACGACAGAGAGAAAATCATCAAAACATTATAAATTACCACACAAAGTATCCTACGGTCGTTAACTAGGATTTCTTCTCAGTATCGTCGTTGCAGCTGAGGTTCGTTTGATTTACCACCACTTACGCGTGTAACACAAATTATCCTACCCTCATAAGATTGGCTTTACAAAAACCACACTTCACACAGACAGATGGACATTGCTATATCTTGGGTCAAGTCGACCATCCCTTCCCCTTGAGAACTGGAGATTCTACTTTTTAAAGTGTCATTTTTTTAACTTAACTCTTTTCTGAACGCATCTTGCCTTTACTTAAATTTTACAGTAATATCAAGTACATCATCTTACATTCAAACAAGATACAACCTATAATGACTTTTCTGCCAGCATCTCTACAAAACTCATACTTAAAACTAAAAAGATTATTCAATACTACATCACATTTACTGAACAGCCACTATCAACCCAACCATATTTCTAAATAATGAAGATGGCATACCTGACTCAAACAGATCTAATTCAATAAAGAAAGAGAGAGAAAAAAGCCTATAATATAACCATGTTAAAAATACAAAGAAACAATCGAGTGCTTTCTCCTCTGTGTGTCTCTCCACAACAAGCAATACTTCAATGTAAAGTTCTTAAAGTGAATACTTGTGTATGTCTATATATGCTTGTGCAAATGTAAGTGTACGCTTTATATTACATATATTGCATGTACATGCTTACATAAACACATACATATAAACATATAGATTCATTAAATTTTTCTTTTCAAATCTTAAAAATATGAGTATCTTTCTCAACTGTGAGATTCTTTCTATTTCCCTTTTAACAATAAAAAATGTTAAAATTACGGCTTAATTAACTGTTCCTTGAGATTCATGAAAGTAATTATACAGAACACTTACTGATACAAATTTACCTAAACAAAAAATCTATCACACGAAATGTCAGATCTCCAGGACAGAAAACATTTTAAAATTGCCATTAGATTCAAATCTATAATAATGTGTCAAAAATATTTCCCTGCATGGTTAAGAGATTCTGTGGTTCAGTTCATCAGATCATATTAATCATATCCTATAAATCAGACTATCAATCTTCCGTCATCCTATCTTCATCTTATCGAAGCACATGAGTGTTGCCAACAATCCTAGTCTTCTCACATCCTTGAGTGACAGTTTAGTAATTGCAATGAGAGCATTAAAGGAGGCCGTGATATTTCTGCTCGAAGTCCAATCACTTCCGAAGTGAACGTGAGACAAAGGATATGATGAGATAAATTAGGAATTAAAGCGAGTATTTTAAGTAGATAAATTGTGGAAAAATTTGAGCATTCCTCGGGCAAAAAGTAGAGCACAGCAAGTTGCATTACTATTCGGGCATTCTGTATCACAAGTTCCATTCAATGACAATGTTTAAATAGAATTCCACTACTTGTTAACTGTGTTTATCGCAAAGCCTCACACTGGTAGAAAGTTTTGGAGTATGTTTGAACTTTATATAATATCTGAATTTGTGACATGTTCTTAGACTGACAGGTAGATATACAGTATATATAAATACTTTTCTGAATTCTTATGTATCATAAGAAAAAGTAACAGTAATAATAATGATAAAAACAGATATATAGCTGTTAAAAGTATGTGACCTTTAAGTAGTTTGCAATAGGGCAGCACTGAACATTTCAAAAAGAGATCCCACGTTACAGATCAACACATAAATATTTAAGAAATAATAAATAATAATAATAAAATGTGTAAGCAAAACTTTTTCATTGCCTCACTGCAGGCAATAAAGACCTATAACCTAAAGCTGATGCAAATATGATCTGAAAATCTATGCCATGAATCAGGTGGAGACTGGATAAGAGAATATGGACTTATGGTGCCTTAATGAACAGAAATAACAATAATTAACAAGTGCTATACATGAGAGAGAGAGAGAGAAAGAAAAAAATAATGTGGCTCCTCCATATGAGGTCGCTCTGTAGACCTGTGTAATTTTTCAGTCAAGATACAAAACCTTCCAAATGTAGAATATGTAAATCATAAAAGCAAAAAGACTCCATTTCTTCCAGCATCTAGTTGAGGAAAGTCGCACACCTCCACCGAACTCTGGCACGTCTATGCTTCTGCTCCTTTTAATGTCAATGCACATTAGCTTATGTATACAAAAAAATATGCAACTATGCTCTCAATTACAGTCCTTCTGTGTTGGGATAAAAAGGGCATTTGTTTGTTCTTTTGAAGTTCAATTATACAAAAATCTTGTCACCAAAAAATTAATTTTAGAAGTTACGCACACACACACAAAGTATCACATATACAGATTTGGATGATTAATTTTTCTTGATGATATGTCTCAGCCACCAAAACTGTGACACACTCTTAAAGCATTCAAAAAACATACCCTATACACATTAGATAATGTTTGTGAGATTCTTCCATGAGATTAAATAATACCCAACTTAAAGCAATATCTATTAAACCTAGTCTTACACTTACGAGCTGATTCTTTACTTCAAGGAGAAACAGCAACTAAACACTGCCGACTGGAGCCATCTGACGGCACTTACTGTCTGACAGTTTCTACGTCCAACCCAAAAAGACACTGAGCATGCATTTCTACATTAAGACTCCCCTGAGCTTGCCTCAATGTTTCTGAGTGTCACATTCTGATGTGGGATAGGCAGCATCCCCCCTTTTATTTGTGCAGGGTAACCAAAGCCTGTGTGTAACATTTCCATGCTGTTATTTTCCACTGGCAACTTTTCCCTGCAAGGCATTTCAATTATCCAGGAGCTGTGAGATATACTTCCTGCCCTGGTCTTCCTCCTGTGATGGTTGGTCATGGCCAGGTGAGTCATCCACAGGGTGCTGTGGTGTGCCCCCTGGGTCCTGGGGACTGTCCTCAAGGGATGGGGTGGCCTGAGGAGCACCTGTTGGGGAGGCAGCCTGCTCACGAACTGGAGCCGGGATCTTCAGCAAGGGTGGAGGTGGTGGCCTTGCCTCACTTGCTGCTTCTGATGAACCCTGAGAAGGACAGATGTAATGTTTTTAAAGATGCTTAGAACTATTGTTAAATAGCCTAAATATATCATAAATACACATCCACCTAAAGATTATAATTATTATAGTATAAAAAATAAAAATTTACAGTATTTTTTTTTTGCAGTACATTTTGGGTCCGGTCACTTCACTGCCCACACACGGCCCATGCTTCCCCTTTGCAATGTCATTTTTTCTTTTCTGCAAAAGCAATCTTAGTTTGTTTGTTTTTTTTTGCCATTTTACAATATCTATATTTGTTATTTGATTTGCTTTATCCAGATGGTAATAGACTGTTTTCCCTGCTCAGACTCCATATAATCTCTCTTGGTAGTCCCTAACTCAGCGTATCATCTTGTTATTTGTCTTTTATTATTTTTTTCCATAATATTTAATTTTCTAAAATATAATGTCCACCACCGGTGACAGGAATAGGATCCTGAGCATGGAAACAGCATCAGTTATGACTCACAGATGGTACATTCCACACTCATTGATGGAAATAATGGAAAAGTTCTTTTCTAAATGTCTAATCAACCTCCAAGAGATGTGTGCACTTGTGTCAAATCATTCCAATTACCCTGGCCCTAAGCCAGATTTTCCCATGACAGCATGTTCAAATCAATGGCCCCTCAAGCTAAATTTTTTCATGACACTGTCATGTCATCTACACTTGAAATAGTGCACACCTAATACTGTTTCAATAAAAGTGGAGACTCCATTACGATTTTTGCTTTATAGCTTTACTATCACCCTGGTCTAGCACTGGTATTTGAACTGATAAAAGAGGATTTATTTTAGTATTTTCCTTGATTTTCAAAAATATTTTCAGGTGTCACACAAAGTCAATAGAATAAAAATAATTATAATGTGTATAAAAAATAAAAAAAAATCATGTTCATAGCATTAGTAAAAAATAGTAAAAAATATAAAAAATAAAATAAATAAACAAACAAACAAAAAAAATGAGTTTTTTCCTGCAGATTCAAGGAAAGGTAAAGCAGGTGAGGTTTCAAGGTCTACTAACTAACTCCTTTGTTGCTAAGCAGTTGCAGAACCTTCTATGTGCTGAGACATCTCACAAAACAATATTAGAGTAAACCCACTATTTTACTAGTGACACTGGGTTACAGGGACTGTCCCTGTGGAGAGGGGATGGCAGACGGCTCATTTACAGTTAGTCAGTTTACGGTATTTGTACATGAAGGAGGACGCCACCAAACAACTGTTAGAACACACCTCTGGGGTTATTTCTTGGAAGTAGCAAAGGCACAATGCCAACAGGTAATTAGCACCAGGTAGTCTACACCTGCATGGACTTTTACTTGTTGCAAGCATACATAAAGCATTTGATAATGACATTATGCAAAAATAAGTTTGTGAATTAAACTTTTTTTTGGAGGGAGGGGAGGGGGATTTAGTGAAAAATGTATACAGATTAAAAACTTTGGCAAGTATCCAGATTTCTAACAGCCATGACTCAATTCTTTGTTTACTTATTCTTTGGTACTATTCAGTGTTTCTGAAGCATGCAAGGCATGGCCTCAATTACCAATGTAATTTTACATATGCTAATCTTGGGAGTAAAATGTGAAATGTAAAGTATTGAGAAAAGAAATTTGAAAACTACTTCAGCACACTTTCAGCATTTTCAGTGGCAAATCATATTTTTCTGTAGATGTAATAAAAACTCATGGCATGACATTACATGCCCCCAGCAAATGGGATTGGTGCACTGTGGCACGTATGGACATGCCACCAGGAATCAAGTCCAGTCATGTCATGGTGGGGTTAAAAAATTGTGGACAGTACACAGACCTAAAGTTAATGGCTTAATAACACTATCATCATGATAATGTCTACAATAATAATAGCAGAATCAGTACTATAGCATTAGAAGAAGAAGAAAAAGAAGAAGAAGAAGAAGAGGAAGAAGAAAAACCAAAGGAAAGGGAAAACCAGGTGAGGACATGTACTCTTACTAATTGACTCCTTAGTGGCTAAGCACTTATGGAGCCCTC